ATATTTATTTTATTATTATTTTTTATTTTTCAGCTATTGATGAAAGCCAGTTAGGGAAGAGAGGGTACCTGACACCGATGACTGCCAAGGAATACATCCTGGCTCTGTGGAAGAATGAAGGTAAGGTTGTCAAGAGAAATGTTACTTTGTTTTCTGTAGACACTGGTAGGACACTGGTAGGTAGTGGATGTAGAGAACTGGATTTGATGAGCAGTTTGATCGCCTGTTCTCAAGTTGTGGCTCCCCACAATTCACAACTGTTATTTACAGAAAATTTCATGTTCCTGTGGTAGTGCACCTCATATTCCCCACAGTTACATTGGTTATAGACTTCTTTTGTGTTCCCTGTCCTCTGAATCTGTCTGCAGTTGTCAGGAAAAATTAAAGCAGTTTCATGAATCAGTCACAGCCAGTAGCTGTGAACTGTTTCTTCCTGCTGTTTTGCTTTTTTTCTTTTGCTATACTCTGTATTTATGTTCAGCATTGATTGACAAAATGCATCTAGGGGTTTAGGTTCCTATACAGTAGCAGTAATAATGAGTTTATCTTTGCTATTATATTTTTTTAGGTTTCTTTTTGCGCTATCTCTTCTCTGGGATGGATCCCCAGGAGAGCTCAGGATTCAGTCCAGACATGTTTTTTTTAGATCTACTTGTGGTTCCACCTTCAAGGTAAGATTTCTATCCAAAAAACTTCTGTAGAAATCATGGGGTTTAGTGCATACTTTTTGCTGGAGTCAGAGATGCAAACCCCTATAGTACAGACACTGATCTACTAAAGTGTCAATGAAAAGTGTTAAGAAAAAAAATAAAAATCACAGCAGTAATTTATGGTAAGATTTATTATAGCTTCAACTGCTTGCTGTTAATTTATAGGGGTTATTTTTCATGCATTGAAGACTTAGCTTAGAATGTTTGATGTTTATCGTGTTACTTATTGGTGACTTGAATCTTGTAATTTTGACCTGCTGTAGGTATCGTCCCGTGAATCGTCTTGGAGACCGGCTGTTTACAAATGGTCAGACTGTGAACTTGCAGGCTGTCATGAAAGATGCCAAAATGATACGGAAGCTCTTGGTTTTCATGGCAAAAGAACAATGTCAGCCAATAAAAATTACAGAAGAAATCCAAACAGTAAGATGATTTGCTGATTTTTGAAAACACTTTTCGTTCCTCAGAATTTAGCCACTAGGTGGAGATAAGTTCTTAAAATGTTTAGTGTGGTTGATGCGTTTTGGATGTGACTGATATATTGACTTTTAGACTGAGAACAAAGTGATGTGGATCACAAAAGCTCTTTGATTTACATTATTTTAATCTGAAAACAGGACTTTCTGGTAGCATGGTGATTTGTAGCACAGACTGACTAACCAGTAACATCTAATTTGGGAAGAGGTCTGTCACCAGAAGATGGTTGATTAGCAATCATCTCTTAAAATCCCACTGGTATATGTAGCTGTGGTATTTGGAGATCTCCCATCCAAGTCAGTTTATAAAGCTTGACAGCAGACCTGTCTGAGGCACTTGGTTGCAATAATCTGAAAGTTAAGTTTATATTGTTAATGCTTTTTTAAAAAAAAAACCTCATGTCTTTAATGAGGTGCAAAATAGCAGCCGATTTTTCATTTGCTATTTAATAGTATAATTTCAGCCTAGTAAATAGAAAGTATTTTTTGTTAAGTCCAAGTTTCTAATGTCTGTTTCTGTAGGAGACCGGAGAGGATAAAGAACCTCTGGACCATTCTGTCCTGACAATGATTCCAGGACAGACCATTGCAGATAAGCTCTACAATGCTTGGATTCGTCTTCAGAGCCATGTCAACATTGTATTTGATAGTGACATGGACAAACTAATGACAGAAAAATACCCTGGTATTCGTCAGGTGGGTAGCAGGCAGAAGCTTAGAGACTGGATTTTGTGTGTCACAGACAGTTAAAACAGGAGAAATGGGTGGAATAAGAAGTAAGTGAAATATCTGGGGTTAGTATGTAGGCATTTTCATGATACTCATCACTGTAATATCTGGACAATCTGTCTGATGTTGCATGCTTTCACATTTTAATCATTAACTTCTGTTTTCAAAGCTATTGGAGAAAAAGGAAGGACTGTTCCGCAAGCACATGATGGGAAAACGCGTGGATTTTGCTGCGCGATCCGTCATTTGCCCCGATATGTACATTGGTACCAATGAGATTGGCATTCCTATGGTAAGAATAATGTAGTATGTCTTTTTTGGTGTAGCTAAAGACTGAACTACACTGCAACACTCCCAGCTACATAGCAAGCAGTTTAAAATGTAGAGATTTTCTGACTCATCTGCAGTCTTTCCTCCCCAGTGTGTCATAGCTGAGTGTTACCAGTGTGTGTTAATAAAGGAGCGTTGAAGAGCAGGAAATTCTTAAAGTTATACTGAACACCACATCTGAGAAAGAGGATTACAAGAAAGAAAAAAGCTATACTTGTTTCCTGAGATTACAGAGATTATAAATGAGTGCAAACTTTATAAATAGATCCTGTTCTCCTGTGATCTTCATACAGGCTATCTTGTAACAGCTATGGCAGCCTTTAAGAGAAAGCCATAATAACCTCACCCGCTTCATTCATCCTCGATTTTTAACTGCACAGAGATGACACCAAACCTGAATTGGAGCTTTTCATTATATCATTTTTTTTTGTCTTGTCTATCTGCAAATAGTGAACCTGGTGGTGATGTATTTTTTCCTGCATTTGTCAGGTTTTATTGCAGAATCTGAAATGACGCTTGCTTTTTTTAATTGCTAATGGTTTTCCTTTTCTACTGCAGTAGAAAATTGTGGAAATTACCCTGTCTCTATCCTTATGATGTAGGATTTTAAAGCATGGTGGTATATTGAAGAGGATGTGCATCCAGGAGCTTAAAATAATTTCTATTTACATTGTATGAGTTAAGATTTGATACATTCTCAGTGACTTGGTATTGTTTTAAGCCACAGTTGAACAACTAGTTATTTCTCTCCTATTTTCCCTCCTGTCTAGGTGTTTGCTACCAAACTGACTTACCCTCAGCCAGTCACTCCCTGGAACGTCAAGGAGCTGAGGCAGGCTGTCATAAATGGCCCAAAGGTTCACCCTGGGGCCTCCATGGTCATTAATGAAGATGGATCTCGTACAGTGTTGAGTGCCAGCAGCCTGACCCAGAGGGAAGCCATAGCCAAGCAGCTCCTCACTCCTTCTTCAGGCGCACCCGAGTCAGGACTGAAGATTGTGAGTATTACAAAGGGCTTCTCTGACCCCTTCTCACCTGTGGTGGTGGTTTCAAAAATAATATTACTTACTGTCCATGCTCGTGATTCCAGTGGGGCCACTCACAAAGACTCCCAGGGCAAGGTTATCTTATCTTTTAGTAGGTGGCTGAGAAAAAGTTGGAGGAATGTGGGAAGAAAAGCTTGATACTTTTTCAAATTCTAGGAACCATTTTTCTTTCCTGAATTTTCCTCTTCTCTGAATGTGCAGTGTAGCATTCATCTCACTAAGATGGGGAGTAGTGTTTCTTTTACAGATGACTGTTCTTGGGAAGTCCCAGCAGTATGGAAGATAAAATACTGCTGTCATTTTGTACTTTTATGTCCCCCTGCCTCCTTGCCCTTCTCAGCCAATTTTGTCTTTTTTCCTTTCATTTTCTGTATCTGGAGCAGTTTTTTGGTAGCAGTTCTGAAGACTGAAATTCAATATACTTGTAGAGTAGGTACAACACAAGCAGTTGATGTGACCTGTCTTCCAGGAGTGGGGTGCCCATGGGTACGTATAAAATAGTCCTCTGTTCTGTGTCAGCCGTCCTGGTAGTGGCATCAACCAGGGCAGGAGTGGTCTGTGTTTTAGCACTGAGTGCTATAGCTTTATCTCTCCCATCCTCCTTGCAAGAGTTGAGAACTTACTGTTTAGCTGCTAGGACAAAAGTTTTCATGATGAAGAAAAGTCTTTTCATGGTATTGGTTGTGTATACAGCTGTCTCTAATAGAGGCATGATAGAGATTTAATATTTGGGACTATTTCTGTTATGTCAGTTCTCTCAAAACCTGTCACAGAGATAAATGTAACAGTATTTAGACTGTACAAACAGCTTACCATACTCTTGTTGATAATCACTTAAAGAGATATATTATAGCATGGGTGTTACTGACAGAGAAATTAAAATGAGACTGTGTGCTAGAGCGGAATATATTGTGCTGTGCTCAAACCTGAAATTATAACTTGGAGGTGCCTGGCCTCTGCTTCAGCTACTGGGTCATACTACGTTATTCTGAGGTGGTGACAGATATTATCAATTCAGGCCAACAGGCCTTGGGTAAATAGTTTTTCTCGTTTACAGATGGCATAATTTCCTTTATTTTTTCAGTCTTTGATCCCCATATTGCCAGGGGAGGGATCAGTAGTTTGACTTGCATGCAGTTAACTTGGTTTAATCACTGTGGTTTGTGGGAGTTAATGGAGCATATGAAGCCTTAGAGTGTGGTTTGGTGGAGAGCAGAGGGCGTTCAGGGGCAAGTAGTTTTGATTCTCTTACTAAGGTTTGCACATAACCTTAATACTAGAAAGATGTTCTGTATTTGTGTATATTTTAAGATGTGGTCTTTCAGAGGCATGCATGGAAATGCCTTATAGGCAACAACGAAAATTCTTTTGCAGGTATGTCGACATATTAAAAATGGAGATGTCCTTTTACTGAACCGCCAGCCCACCCTTCACAGACCCTCCATCCAAGCTCACCGAGCCCGAATCCTGCCTGGAGAAAAAGTGCTGAGGCTTCACTATGCCAACTGCAAGGCTTACAATGCTGATTTTGATGGTGATGAAATGAATGCCCATTTTCCACAGAGCGAGCTGGGTAGAGCAGAGGCCTACACCTTAGCCTTTACTGATGAGCAGTATCTAGTTCCAAAGGTAAGTAAAACTGTCAGCTGAATTTATTCCTTTGCATTGTTTTGATTTTTTTTGTTTTGTCTAATGATAAATGAGATGTTTTATTTATTATTTTTATTATTATTTTTCCTTACTTATTTTTTATTTATTCCCATTTCCTTTTCTGTCTCCACTTGTTGTCTTGTCTTGCTCTTTACCTCAGCAGACTGTTGTGATTCAGGCATTGTTACTTGCTCCTTATCTCCCCAGACCCAGTTCTCTTCTAGAGAAAGCCCATCACATCCAATCTTGTTCCTTTTAATGACAATGCCCGGAAGGGAGTATCAGTAGAGAGTTGTACTTTACAAATTACTTTGGTGCTTTTACCCAGCTGAAGTAATTTTGGGAGCTACTAGCACATGTCTTATTCCCCCCCTTTGTCTTTTTCTTACCTCTTTAGGATGGGAAGCCACTTCCTGGCTTGATCCAGGACCACATGATTTCTGGAGTCAGCATGACTATTCGGGGCTGCTTTTTCACCAGAGAGCAATATATGGAGCTTGTTTACCGAGGACTAACGGACAAAGAAGGAAGAATTAAAATCTTTCCCCCTGCCATTATGAAACCACAGCGGTTATGGACAGGAAAGCAGGTAGTTTATAATTTATTGGGCTGAAGGATGCTGGTGGTTCCAAAGTAAGCAGAATGCTAATGTTAAAACCAGTGCTGCTGAGGGTTGCTGAAAAGCCAGATCCCATAATCTAATCAACACCACGTATATCTTGGTGTGTGTTATTGGAGCTTTGAGAGTCATCTTTCATTTACAATGACAGTATTAGTACAGTATTTTTACTTGCTCCTCTGAAGAGTGTTGCAGAAAAAAATATAATGCTGCAATTTACAGGCATGGGAGCAGAGAAGGAATTTGATTACTGTAAACAGGGTTTCATGCTGACAGTGCACTAAGTTTTACCAGTCACTGCTTTTAAATCTCTGAACTTCAAGGTTGTAGTTAAAGACTGTTTTTTGAATTTTCGGTTGAGATCACCGTTAGGTTGATGGAGTATCTGGGAAGCCCAAGTGAATGCTCCATTTTCTACTATTTAAAGAGAGTTTAACATTCAATCCAAGCATTATGTCCCATAGCAGAGTAGGGAAAATTTTCTGCCAGTTTTTCCTAACAGACAACTACTTCTTAAAGATATGTATCTGTCTCTATTTCTTTGGTTACATATGTTTCTGAATAATGGTGTCTCGGGTCATTGATCTTTCAAATCCTAGTGTAGCAAGAAGATATTCCTGTCTTGTAAATGTCAAATTTCTGAGCTTTTAAAGCTTTGCTGTCAGTGGAAAAAATATGTATAGGATGTTACTTTTCTCCTCCATGCCAAATTATTTACAGTGAGAAGGGAATATAGCAAATAAATAGTTCCTGCCACTCTTCCTGCTTCTTTATAGGTTGTTTCTACGTTGTTAATAAACATCATTCCAGAAAACCACATGCCACTGAATTTGACTGGGAAAGCAAAGATTGGTGGAAGAGCCTGGGTAAAGGGACCTGCAAACAGCCATCTAAATCTGGATTCGCTGTGTGAATCTCAGGTAGGCTGGGGCAGCAACTCTGGAGGCTGAGCTGGGATGTATTGTAATAAAATTGTGTATAGAGTAGGGAGATGGGAAGGGAAGTGGGAGGATGACAAAGTTTAAAACTGACATTAAGCAGCAGTGACTGCCAGAAGGTGGTGATTAGAGGATAGGCCTAGGAATCAGGAAAAATTCTGTTCTGATCCTGACTGATACAGATACCATCTGGTTTTGTTAGACCATGCGTCTTCGTTGTTTGACTTCATAGGTCGCTAAAATACAGATGGTGTTGGAAGTTTTATTTGTACTATAAATTCTGGAAGAACAGATAATCTGACCATATTTAACTGTTCACCCATATGTGGGCTTTGTAAACTTTTTACTTAAACCTATTTTCACGTAGATTACATAGAAAAACCTGTAGAGATCATAATGAGATCAAAATGTCTGTTTTCCTGAATAGCTGTGTTTTATTTTTCAGGTTATTATTAGAAATGGGGAATTGCTATGTGGAGTGTTGGACAAAGCTCACTTTGGCAGCTCTGCCTATGGCCTGGTCCACTGCTGCTATGAAATCTATGGGGGTAAAACCAGTGGGAAAGTGCTAACGTGTCTGGGACGCCTCTTTACTGCTTATCTGCAGCTGTACAGGGGATTTACAATGGGTGAGTAACACAAGGACTAACTCATCAGTGCCATCATGCAACACCTCCTGAGATATTAAACAGATGTAGTTGGGCATAATACATGCTAAAATTTCTGTAAATAAAGTTTTGCAAGGCTTGAGTGGGCTAACTGGTTGACAGTTGGCTTAACATGAGCCAGCACTGTGCCCACGTGGCCAGAAAAGCCAATGGCATCTTGGCCTGTATTAAAAACAGTGTGACCAGCAGGTCCAGGGAGGTGATTATCCCCCTGAACTTGGCACTGGTGAGGCTGCACCTCGAGTACTGTGTTCAGTTCTGGGCCCCTCACTAGAAGAAGGATGTTGAGATTCTGGAGCGTGTTCAGAGAAGAGCCACAAGGATGGTGAGGGCTCTGGAGAACAAGCCTTATGAGGAGCGGCTGAGGGAGCTGGGGTTGTTTAGCCTGGAGAAGGCTGAAGGGAGACCTCATCACCACCTCCAACTACCTCAAGGGAGGTTGTAGAGAGGTGGGTGCTGGTCTCTTCTCCCAGGTGATGGGGGATAGAACAAGGGGAAACGGCACCAAGCTGTGCCAAGGGAGGTTCAGGTTAGAGATAAGGAGGAAGTTCTTTACTGAGAGGGTCGTCAGAAGCTGGAACAGGCTGCCCAGGGAGGTGGTGGAGTCACCATCCCTGGATGTATTTAAGGAGTGGGTAGATGAGGTACTTAAGGATATGGTTTAGTGGGTAGACAGGAACGGTTGGACATGATGATCTCAGAGGTCTTTTCCAACCGAGCGATTCTGTGATTCTGTGAACTGTTTGCCAGCCTTTTTATTTCCATCTTGTTTTTTTTCTGGTTGGTGCATAGCTTGCCTTCTGAGCATAAAGAGGAAGTATAATCTTGAGTATGTCCTGCCTATTCAAAGTGTACACAGGGTAAATGTCTTGTGTTGAAATTTTGTTTAGATCGAAACTTCTTGAGACTCTAGCTTATTTTTACTTTGCTGAAGAAGAACTGTTGCATAGGAACCGGAACAACTGACAAAGCAAGATGGAAGAACTTTAGGGGGTTATTAGTCAAGTCTTACATAACTCATTCTACTGTAAATCTTTTGGTAAATATTTGACTTTCATTATAGCTTTTCAAACTCATACAAAAATGCACTTGGCAGGTGATAAAAATTTGAGCCTCCCTGTACTCTCTCTTCTTGTAATTGAAATATTTCAAATCACCATATAGAGCTTTAAAGGTGTTTTTATACTAATGAAATACTTCCAGTGTCTAGCAGCAAGAGAGTTTAAATTAGTTTGTATCTGGAGGCACAATATGGTCACTTAGTGTTACACAGACACAGTCAACTGATAGACAGTAGGAGTGAGGAACCAACAGGCTGCTGTGAGCCAAGAAAATGGTGAAACCTCTCTGGGTCTCTGTACCAGCATTTGATCATATACATTGTGAAAATAGTTTTTACTCTTGAAGAAAATGTTGTTTCCACGTATCTCTAAAGGACAAACACATCTTTCGGCCTTTCCTCATCCATCATGCTCCAGCAGTTTTAGTGACCATTTTAGTGACTTTTTGGAGGTCTCGTTAGGATTCCAACATTTGATTTGCTCTTAATTGTTCTTCTGGTCCTGTCACAAGGGTAGGAGCTAGGAAATGGCAGATGCTGCAAAGTTCAGCTAATAGGAACTTTGAAGTGGATGTAAGAGGAAAAAATTATTTGTTGTGGCTGGTCTGTAACACATTTGTTTGTGCAAGATTTTATAGACACTGTTGAAGACTTCTTAAGTTAAGTAGTTGATGCTTAGCTTAGTTGATATTGCATGGGGTTCTTGACAGCCTGTGCCTTCTCCCTCAAAAAGCTGCTCAGAATGTTGTTTTTTCCTTTCAAATTGCAGTTAGCCTGATTTTAACAAGTATTGTATTTTTAATGGTGACTTTGTTTTCCAGCCCCTTTTTCTCAAATTCTCTGACACACAGTGCATGCCAGATTATTTTCCTCGATCTTTTTTCAGTTTAAATCATTCCATGGTCTGTCTCTCTTCTTCAACAGGGATTGAAGATATTTTGGTTAAACGTGAAGCAGACCACAAAAGAAAAAAAATCATTGAAAGGTCAAGCCATTGTGGTATTGAAGTAAGTTTGTCTTTCAGAATTTCCACCCCCCGCCCCAGTTAATTTTTTTAAAATCTTACCCAGTTTAATCATGTCTTCTTAGCACCTAAAAAACCCCCATGTTTTACTTTCAGGCTGTTAGAGCTGCTCTTAATTTGCCAGAAACAGCATCACGTGAGGAGGTCCAAGGGAAATGGCAGGATGCCCATCTCTGCAAAGACCAGAGGGATTTTAACATGGTTGATCTGAAATTCAAGGAGGAAGTAAACAATTACAACAATGAAGTTAACAAGGTTGGCATTGAGACATCTGTGTATGCTAATCTTATTTGGAGACTTTTTTTATTAAGTTAATTTAAGGCTGCCTGGCTGTTCTGGAGGTTAAAACTTTCCATCTGTCCCCAGCATGATGATGCTTCACATGCAGCCCTGCCAATGCACCCCAACTTTGTCCTCCCTGAATGAGAAGATGGCTTAATATCCAAGATGCTTTTAAAATTATATAGGAATGTTTGTTGTTAGTCGTGGTTTCACTTTTTTAAAGCCTTCAACAGGAATTGCTTTTGTTTATTATTTTATTAATAATGGTTTGTTTTTGTTCTTTTCATCCCATCACAACTCTTCAGGTTTGCATGCCCCTTGGTCTCTACAGAAGCTTTCCAGAGAACAATTTGCAGTTGATGGTACAGTCAGGAGCCAAAGGATCCACTGTAAATACAATGCAGGTAATGGCAGCCAGAGTGCTTAGCAGCTACATGTGCTGCTGTGATTTGTTCTAGAATGTAAGCTATTGAGAAGCTCTTGTGTGGTTATCTAATACCAAAGCAGGATTTTTATTCTGGGTCTTGGGAATGGAGGCCTTTGGCCCAGAAAAATTTTAAAAGAATGTAATGAAGACCTCAGTGGATGATGGAGGAGAGTCGCTGTTTATTATAACCTTCTATTTTTGAATCAGTTCCTAGTACATTAGGATTTCTCGAACAGCAGACCTGCTTTTTAGAAGGAATGCTGCAGATAATACAAACAAGCCTACTGTAGGAGAAACCTTTTCCTGGCCTTTGTTGGAGAGCGACCCTTCTGTTTCTGTCTTCACTACTGAATGGGAACAACTAAATCTTAATTTGATTTTGACAGATACGGCAAGGATGCTTTTTCATTTTGCCTTCTGCAGCACAGCCACCACGTGATAAACACTGTGTAAAAAGGCCATCTAAAATTCTGTGTGTGATGAGGGAGAATGACCAAAGCTCAAGAGAGAGGGGATTTTCGTCAGGGGTTTTTGTTCTGGTTTTTTGTGCACTTCTGAAAGATGATGAGGTTAATGCAGAGACCTAAAAAATATCTGTGATATTTCTGTTTCATATCTATTTAGATTAAAATAAACATACAGAATGAGAATGGCAATGTTGAGGATGAGTCAAGGGGCTGGAATAACCAAAAAAGACCAGATGAGATCTGCGTGCCTTTTCTGCCCATCAGTAGCAAGAACATTTAATGAACACGTCGGCATTTAGTTAAAGGACATTTAGGAAACATTTTAATTTTTTTTTCCTATGTTTTTCAAGAAAAATTGTTGGACTTGTGTGAGGAAGAAGTTAGGTGGAAAAATGATGGGTTTTTTTCCTGTCCACATGTAGATTTCTTGTTTGCTGGGCCAGATTGAGTTGGAAGGTCGAAGACCGCCACTGATGGCATCTGGCAAATCGCTGCCATGTTTCCAGCCTTATGATTTTTCCCCTAGCTCAGGAGGATTTGTGACTGGCAGATTTCTCACTGGAATCAGACCTTCTGTAAGTTGAATGCTGCTTGTGCTTATACTGAAGCTCATATAGATCTTGGTATTTTAATACAGATTGTTTGTGATTTATAGATAAATTGACTTTGTTCCTACTACTTTCATACGTAGCTTGTGAGAAAGAGCATGTATTGCCATTCTCAGTGTACTTCTCAACAGAATGCTGATGGGATTGTGCTTATGTTTAGGAATTCTTCTTTCACTGCATGGCTGGCAGGGAAGGTCTTGTGGATACAGCTGTCAAAACCAGCCGTTCTGGCTACCTGCAAAGGTAAGAGCTTTAGAATGTCAGCCTTTTAAAGGTCCTTTTCCTTTATTTTCCCCTTTTTTTTTTCTTTCTAATAAAGTACTATAGGCTGGAAGAGGTGCCTGTGATGCTTAGATTAACTTCAGTGGACTTGCTTTTTAGAAAAGTGCTTACTGTCTGAGTCAACACTCATGCTTGTTCTAAGGCTGACTTTGTAGAGCACCAGATCAGGTGGATCTTCATCACCTTCAACCTATCTCTGGCACATAGCAGCAGCAACTTTTTCTTTTGGAGAAATCTTTTTCCTGGTACAAGTAAAAATGTACAAATTTCGGACAACTCTAGTTTTTCTTTCCCACATTGCATTTATTCAAGCAACACCTCCAGTATATAGAAGATGGCACTTTTTAATTGTTTCAGAGTGTAGTGAGAGGCTCTAAAGGAGGGATGCCTCCTTCTTTGAAAGAACTACTCATGAGTGACAGCAGAAATAGAGAGCAGTTTGCTAGTTCATTTCAAGTCACTTCAGTCCAAGGAAACTGGAGGGGGCAACATTCAGAAAGCTTTGCAATGTCATTACACATTTCACCTGTGTCATGTCTATGATTTTTGTATGTATGATTTTTGGCTTCCAGAATTCCTGATCAATACTTAAGTGCACTTTCAATATGAATAAAAATAGTATTTTTCACGTTAAAGTTATATCATCCTTGTCACTTTGTAGCCTCTTAACAGTGTTGGGTTGTTTTGGTTTTTTTCCTTTGGAACAGGTGCATCATAAAACATTTGGAAGGACTGGTAGTTCAGTATGACCTGACTGTACGAGATAGTGATGGCAGTGTGGTGCAGTTTCTGTATGGAGAAGATGGCCTTGATATCCCTAAAACTCAGTTCTTACAACCTGAGCAATTCCCTTTCATTGCAGCAAACTATGAGGTAAAACACCTAAATCAAGTCTTTATATGGGATGAAGAGGGATAGTGAAATGCATGGTTAACATCTTTGCATATCTATTGGGAATCCAGTGGAATAATTTTGTCTCAGTCACTCTCAGACTAACTTACTCTTTTTTTTACCATTATATTCAAAATATGGAAGTGAGTATTGTGTCTGTGGCATGATTTAAGTAGTCTCAATTTCAACAGCACCAAGCGCTCTCCTTTTTGTCTCCTATTCTAAGTCTGCAGTTGGATTCAACACAGATGACTTTGCTGTTCAGTCTCTCAAGTTTGATAACTTCCTTTTGCCAGTATCATCACTGGGTATTAGAGAGTGGTGCTAGTCACATAGAAACATAAGCAGTTTAATCTCAGCAGCGCTGAAAACCAATTTTGAAAATTGTTTAACAGCAGCTGAACTTTTTGAGTGGCAGCAAATGACCGTTTCAATTTGCTTTGCCTTTTCTGCTACAGTGAGCATAGAGGGAGGAATAATCATACAGGTAACTTTCTTATAGGTAATCCAGAAGACAAACCATCTGGATGAAGCTTTAGCAAGGATGGAGTCTCGCCAAGCTAACCAGCAGTTCAAAGCCATCAAAAAGTGGCGAGCCAGGCACCAAAACTCTGTGCAAAGAGAAGGAGGTTTTCTGATGTTTTCCCAAAAGAAAATGGCAAGCGTAAAAGCTCAGATTCCAGGAGGAGAAATCAAAAATGGAAGAGATGCAGCTACTTTACAGGTAATGCAGAAGCAGTTGAATTGACAGAGCCCTTTAAAAAAGTTACATAATTCAGTGGGGTTTTTTTAATGGCTTTTTATGTTCCAGAGTGTTTCACAGCCTACTTATACAAGTGTGTGTGTGATGAAGCTGAGCTTCATTCATTAAAGTCTGTGGGCCCTAGTGCTAGGGCAGAGGCCAAAAACGTGGAGGTAAAACTGGTTTTAGAAAACGGCTCATGTCTGTGGGTGGTTTTCAGGGATTGTTTTTGTTTGTTTGGTGGTGGTATTTTTATTTTTTTATGTATACAGATTAGATCTTTTGGATGGACAGGTTGGATGAGAGCCTGTTCAAATATGAAGATCAGCAGGCTGTGTGAGCCCTGCGTAGTGTTTCCAAAAAGTACTCTCACTTAAGCCTCTTGTACATCAGCGTGCTAATCTGTATGTTATGGCTTCTAATGAAGACTGTGTGTATGGACACAATGCAAACAGGTGCTGCTCCACAGCCTTGTTTTCACAAGGAATTAACCCTGCTAGAACGTGGACAGTTAGCATGAATCTCCAAGTTGGAGGTGTCGAGAGATATAACTCTGTAAGCTTGTCTGCAAATGTCATGCCTAATCACTGGTTCACTTATTCAGCTGTGCTGAATTCATGTTGCTGTTGGCACTTCTGGTAACATTCAAAACAATTTGGCCTGGGGATTCATTCACTGTTCATTTTCTCTTTCAGCAGATGGGTAGGTATAGATACACATTTATCTCTGTCTCAATATATTATAAAGGTCAGTGGACAGATTTTCATGTCACAAGCCAATTCCTCCTCCATAAAACAGCAAGGCATCTAAAAGATAGGTTTAGCTCATTTTCTGTGTTGATATTTTTTTAAGTAGGTATTACCTTAATAATAACTTCTGTTATTAAATGCAACATTTGAAATGTTATTTGAAAGACTAGCAAACTGAAAAACAGAAATAAAACCGAGTAGTGTGCATAAGATGCAAGCTGCGCTTAAGGTCTCTGCCGGGCCATTGGGCTTGAATGTCAACAGCTAAAAATCAGAGAAGCTCCTTTGTCATGGCAGCTTTAGTCAGCTAGAAGTACAGATTTAACAACGTTGAGGGGGTTCACGCTCAAGTTAAATCATTCTGAGAGGGCTGTATTTCACGGGTTTCTGGAGTAGTTACTATGGATAGATAGAGAACTGACTATTCCTTGTAAAGAACCTTGAAATCATTGGGGATCAAAAGTGTAAGTATCAGAAAATGGAGAATGCTGTATTTGTAGCTGAGTTGTTTGCTGTATGTTACATACACCCTTAGGTTTTACACAGGTGATCTTTTGCTCTATCTATTGATTGCTGTGTTATTCAGCTGTGGTTTTCTCTGAGAATAAACCAGACTACTTAAAAATCCCTTCTTATTTTCAGTTATTGAAGATGTGGTATGAACTAGATGAGAAGAAACGCAGAAAGTATCTGAAGAAGACAAATAAGTGTCCGGACCCAAGCCTTGGTGTTTGGCGTCCAGATACTTATTTTGCATCTGTTTCAGAAACATTTGAAAATGGAGTCGAAGAGTTTATCAACAAATGGGAATCCGAGAACAGACGAAGTTATGTGTGCCCATCGCTTTCTTCTGACAGGTAGTAACTGTCTTTACTTCTTTGCAATGAGCCAAAAAGAAATAATCTATTTTTGGACTGAGATTGCTAAAGATGAAAAGTCTTTATCAACTCTTGTTATTTGTCGTGACCTTTGTGAAACAAAGTAGTAGGTTTCAGGAATGGTTCCTGAAAGCTGTGTGCTTACTGTGCAGTGGAGAGGCCCTGGTTATCTCTTTATTCCAAACTTGAATTTTTCATGCTGCTAACAGCTTTGGCAAAGGCTTTATGAAATAACAGCAGTGTATTGCTGTTCCCCTACACATAAAACAATACTTTACAGTAACAGTTACAAACAAAACATGCTGTTGCCACACCTGGGAGTCAGCGAGGCAGTCAAGATGAGCAAGTAAGAGTAAATGGGCTCTCTTTTGACATTCTGGGAATTAGAACAGAACAGAAGTCGGATTTGGCCAAGGCCCCAGATCTGTGGTAATGGGCTGTGTTTGTCAGATCAGATTGGGATAAACAATTTAGCAGTTTCTGGAGGGTATTTATCCATAAACTACCAGGAGAAATTAGCGGAAAGAGGTAACTTTATGGCACAGAGTGATACTGCAGTCTCTCCCGAGTTCTTTATTTTGTACTACATTGAGCTAAGCCCTTTATTTCCTGTCTCCAGATTAAAGGATTTGTTGTACTTAAAGTGGCAGCGATCTCTTTGTGACCCAGGAGAAGCTGTGGGTCTTCTTGCAGCTCAGAGTATTGGGGAACCTTCCACACAGATGACTCTGAACACCTTCCACTTTGCTGGCAGAGGTGAAATGAACGTCACATTGGGTATTCCAAGGTGAGCAAAATGTGTTCTCAGTGAGTCCTTTGCCATTTTTGGCACTTTAGTAGTAGTGCTTAATCTCTCTAGCAGGTGTAAGTGTAATCTTGAGGGCAAGTGATCCTTCAGTTTAATTGTAAATTGTGCCAGTTCAGAACTATTGTAATGTTTTACAGTTTTACAGTTGTTTTGGCTCATTTTCCAGATACAAAATACCTGTGAAGGCTGCTTACTCTTATCTTATGTATAGCAAATGCCTTATTTGTTTCTGTATTTTATTCAGTACAGTATAAGCCAAAAGAAATGGTGCTTTGTGGGTTTGAACCCTGGTGACCTCTGCTTCCTCCTACTAACTTTTAAACGTGTTTCTTTCGCACATAAAATTTCACTGCAACTATGAAATCTGGCATGTTTAGTGTTGTTATCAACTATGTAGAGAGAGACCTGCTTTATAGCAGCCAGGTTTCCCCTGACTTTTCTGTACAGACAGTGACTTTATCAGCATGCACATATTTACCAGCCAGTCATCAGCTTGTTCTGAGTAACACGAGTGCCTATCCTGGCCTCCTCCTGCACCAGTGCAATGTCTTACGTGGGAGAAGGTTGCGTTACTTCAGAGAAGCAGGGGAGGGGAGAAAGTATCAGGAGCATACATTGTGCATCTGTAGGAAACAGGCTTCATTAGCTCTTCTGTTCTTGGAACAACTTATTATCATCTCTAGTCTCTTCCTGTAATTGGAGTGATAACCTAATTGAAGCAGTGGAGCTACTGTTGTGTTGTGTCTGGTGAGGAACTAGAAAAGGGAAAAGGAGCACTGCAATGGTAACCACAGCTCCTGATGCATATGGCTTTGGTAGAGCTGGCACTTGCTGCGTGCTGCCTAATTAAATGAACTAGATATTTATTTGATCGCATAGTGCTTTTACCGCTTAATTTGAAAGATCATTCTTTATTTAAAGGTTGCGGGAAATATTGATGGTGGCCAGTGCAAATATTAAAACACCAACGATGAGTGTTCCTGTGTTCAATACCAAGAAAGCTCTCAAGAAGGTGAAACAGCTTAAGAAACAGCTGACAAGAGTGTGCTTAGCTGAGGTGAGCCTCCTATTCAGTGTATCCTTTGAGAGTCTGCAAAACAAAGTTTCCTATTTGAGCTCATCAGTCAGTCTGGCTTTGTAGCAGCTTTCATTTTTGAAGGCTGATCTGTGGCCGCAAGATGAGAGGGTCCTTTCTTTTCACCTCTTTCACACTGAACTTGTAATATCTGCTAGGAAGGGGAGCATTGAAAGGAATTGCAATTACCATGGCTGTATGAGACTTCAATTCAATTCAAGCTGTAGAGCATTGTCACAGGCTAAAATCTCTACAGAACGTAAAGGGGAAGGGTACTATTTCGTACATAGCAGTAGTATAATGGCAGAGAGGAACTATATTTGCTGCCATAGCCTTTTTCTCAAGTTCTTTTTTGTTATATTTTTCTTAATAATTGGAAGGGGTTTGTTTTGTTTTTGAGGAACGAGCTAATCTGGCTGTGACTGGCACAGAAGAGACCTTTCCGTTTGTCCCCTGCCTCTCCTAACCTTATACCAGTGGCTGTGCTCAGTAGAAGCTGAATGGGTGGCTCCTTGGAGACTTGATGTACTGAAGCCTGATGTATTCTGGGCTCCTTCTCTTCCTAGGAGCGCAGTGTTTCTTGTGCTCTCCTGCATGGCCTACCCTCTTCTGTCTCACTCAAGTTGAATGCAGCAAGGATAGAGTTAAGGCTCTTGAGAGTGCAATAGGGTAGAGTTCTTTTGCCCAGAAGTTGCCACAAAACCTCCAGAAGAGTTTGCCAGTTAGCCTTGAGTAATTCTGGTCTCCTATGGAAAGCACTGGAATTGCAGGAAGTAAATGAAGTGTCTTCATCAAGGGAGTAATGTTTCTACCTGGCGCTTCTGTAGGTCTTGCAGAAAGTTGAGATAGAGGAATCCCTGCGTTTGAAGTGCAAGCAGAACAGACATCGCCTCTACAAAATCAAATTCCATTTCTTGCCCCATGAATATTACCGAGAGGAGAAGCGTGTGAAGCCCAGGGACATCTTGCACTTCATGGAAACAAGGTGAGTTTGCTTTCAGATAGTTTAATATTTGCTCTTCTTTTGCCTTTTCACAAGCACTAAGGGTCACTGCATGTTGTTTATTACTGCTGCTATGGCTTTCAGAGCAACAGCATCCTGCAGATGTGCTTGCAGAAGCATCTACGCAGTTGTTTATGTCCTGAATAAAACTGTGGAGCTGTAGCATGGGGACAGTGCAGATTTGCATCAAGGCAGGCCTTTCACATGTCTCCTATATACTCAGAGAAGAGCCTTATTAGCAACATCTCATTCCTTGTCTTTGGATGCTTAAGCATTTATTACCAGCAAAAATATTTGTATACTTTAGATATCCCTTGGTGCTCTCACTAAACAGAACTAAACCTTAGTATTTTTTGATTTTTTTTTTAAGTAAAGAAATGAGGAAAGACTGCCTTTTGTTTGTTTTTCCTTTCTTCCTTACCCATGTCTGGCCAAATTTGTGTAGTTAGAAGTAGAACATTCAATGATAAGGGTCTATTGAAAGCTATTTTTGTTTTGCAAAAAGGCTTCATTGATTTTGTCTTCCTTCAGGCCACATGATTTCAAGCTGGGTTACTTTATTTAACAACTTTGCCTGTGCTCGTTGGTTTAAAAAAGAAAAAAGTCAAGTAGTAAATAACTTCTTCTGAAGGTCAGTTTGATGTGCAGATTTTCCATCCAGATGAGTTATAATTTTAAGCTTTGCATGCATGGTTACATCTGTAGATGTCATGAGTTAGCTGGCTTCTTAAACAAAGCAAATTCATTTTCTGACAGTTTGAAATTGACTGTGGTACTGCTGATCTTTGACATTCTGGGTTGCTGCTTCTTTCAGGTTCTTTAAAATTTTTCTGGAAGCAATTAAAAAGAAGAGTGCTAAGATGGCATCTTTTACTGAAGTCAGTGCCCGGAAGGCAACTCGAAAAGATTTAGATGGTGACCAAGACAAGGTACAGAAAAACATTACCTGAAAAATCCCTCAATTCCTTTACCTGTTTTTGAGAACCAGAATTTGGAAAAGCGTAGCATGTTTCAATGTGAACAGAAAATGTGTGACTACTGTATTACTTACTAAGTATTTTCTTTATGCATAAACTGTCTTTGCATTGTCATAAAATTAACAAAGAAATTAAAGTTACTGTGTATTAAATCCTAATGTACTTAACAGTATACTCTGAAAATGTCTGTTTATTTTCGCTTCTGTGAGATGAAAGCATATTACTCTCTGCACCCGGATTCTGCTGTAGCAGTGGTTGCCAAAGCTTTGGGGAAAGATCCTTTTTTCATTGAAAAGCTTTTGCATGTTCCTTCTGCCACTTCTCTCCCATCAAGGACTGTCACATAAGCAGGCTGATAGCTTATCTATTGCACAGATGTTCATCTTGTTTAATGTTGAAGTTACCAAGTTCATTGTTTCTTTATAGTAGCAGACATTGTAGAAATTAATTTATCCTTAAAGGTAGAACATGGAACAAGGGAATTGTTAAATTCCAAATGTTTGGCTGAAGCCTTTTGATGCAGTTGATGCTTCCTAGCGGTCAGCCTGATCATCTGCTCTGTCACGGATTTCTAGACACAGGACCATCAGGAAGCTCCAGCAGAGGAAGAAGAGAACATTGTTGATGCAGAAGCTGATGAAGGGGATGGTGATGCTACGGAAGCAAAACGGAGGAAGAACCAGGAAGAAGAGGTAAAGAGCACTGCACTTTAGTTCTCATTTTCCTCTGCTTCAGTTTTAGTTGTGAAGAAACACTGCCATTGAAAGAAAATGCTTCAAAAAAAAATTGAAAGGGGATAGGAAAGTCTCTGTTGGTGCTGATCAGTTTTGATATGGATGCGAAGGAGCAAATGTGAGCTGAGACTTGTAATGACCACGGTCATCACAGTTGAGCCCAGTCACTGCTTCAGGACTAACACAGAACCATGACAGTTAGAGATGGAAGAGATCTGGGGTTTTTTGAAGCCGTGTTCTTCAGCCATAGGGTACATGTGCCTGGCAATCAGGTTGTCTGTGCTGTAGTTCACTTTAACTTTACTTCTTCCTAATTTCATGCCATTAGTTGTTTTGAAACTTTACTGGGGACACTCCCTGGCTCTGCATGTTCACTTCTTCAAAATTACTGCTTAAAAGATGAATTTCTGTAATTTCAGCAAGAAAGCAGAGTAATTTAAAATCCTGAAAGAATCCCTTCGTCAGAATTGGATTATGGGAAGAGCCTTTTTTTGGGGAAAAACTGCTAAAGTCAAAATAACCTGTAGCATCCCTGGCTGTATGGCAGAATAATGGCAAGTTTATGAAGAAACAGACTGAATTGAATCTGTTGTGTTCTTTTCTTTGTAACAGAGTTGCATTTCCATTGTGTCATAGGCAAGATACTTGCAACTCAGCTGTCAGGAATATGAATGAATAAAACAGCTTCATGGTGTGCTTTGTTTCTGTGCGTGTTCTGGCTCGGATAAGGACAACATCATTTCTTTGTAGGTTGATTATGAGAGTGAAGAAGAAAATGGGGAAGAAAACGTTGATGAGAATCTAGAAGATGAAGAGGCTGAATCGGAAAAAGAAGAAGGGGCTCCCGGTGCTGAAGAAGATCAGCATGGAGCAGATGGTGATGATTCTCAACAGCTTTCCTTTAAGTCTCGAACTAAAAAAGATCGATTGCTCCAGTCAGCAGAGTTGCGAGTAAACACTGTTCTGGAGAGCCACCCTTCGATACAGGATTACACGTTTGACACCGAGAATGAACTTTGGTGTGAGGTAAGATGGCAGTGCCTGGAAATGCCTGTGTGTGGTCGTGCAATGGTTGCATGTAGCTCCCATAATGATATTTTCGGTGGAGTGCTGCTGTTTTGTCTCGGCGATCTTATGTTAATACAAAAAAGTGGCAGTACAAATGTGCTACTTGACATAATTTTTAGTAACCTCCAACTTTCAGGATGTCTGATGAAACTTCTTTTTATAAACAGGTTTTTGACAGGTTTATTGGAGTTTAATCTTTAAATATGTGATGCACCACTGTGTAGCTATTGATGAATAAAAGTGATGGCTGGACAGTTGAAAAAGTCCGTAACATCTTAAAAAACAAAAATCAACAACAACATAACCCACAAAACAAACAAACAAGCAAAACCACAAAAAAACCCCATCAACAAACACGTACCCCACCCCCCAGAAAAAAAAGCCACTCAAAAGAAACCCAATTGGTGTAAGTTCAGAGATCTTGAAAGCAGTGTGCATGAATCATCCTGGGATGAGTTGTTCATATTAGCATTATTCAGCTGTAATTCTAGTCAGACATTTATGTTCCTAAACACAACTAGGGTAATTTCAGTTCCCTACTTCTTGCCTAAAAAGAGGAGGCTGGTTATTGAGCCTGATGTTCAAGCTTCCTTACAGAACAACACTGAACTGGGTTTTTTCCTCTCAGGTTTCATTGACGCTTCCCTTGATGAAGGTGTACTTTGATCTGACCTCCTTGCTTGTCTCCCTTGCACGAAGCACGGTCATCCATGAAGTTAAGGGGATCACACGATGCTTGTTGAATGAAAGTACCAATAACCAAGGGGAGAAGGAACTCGTTCTGCACATCGAAGGGATCAACCTTGCAGAGCTGTTCAGATACTCTGATGTATGTCATCTATTTATAATCCTGAGCTTGAATGACCTTCTGTATTCTAGGGAGAGACGATGGATGATGGGTGCCATTTACATTTATCAGGGGTGATGTGTAGCCTTTTCAGCTCTTAAAGTCTTCCTCCTCTGTTTTCCACCCAGATGTGCTCAGAGCTCAGCAGAGCCTTTTCTCAAGGGCAGCTTGCAAATCAGTTGTTGTGCAGCAGCCCAGTATCTAATGACAGATAATTCCATGCCATGCTTGTAACTCTCTCTAAATGTTACTTGAGGGAGTTCTTCCATCTAAATGAATTGCAGTACTTGGAGATAAATAGTTCTGTTATGCCATCTAGCCCATAACTCTACAAATACAGGATTGTTTTATGCTGCATCTTCACTACTGCTTTTGCTGCAAGTCCTGGCTGGCTGAGACAGACTGGGCATTGCATTATGTTGCTTGGAAGACTTTAACATATTCTTCTAATCCCTGGAACGGTTTGGTTGGTTTTTTTAATTTCAGATCATTTTCTCCTGTGGCGAGTTTTGACTCCAGTACTCTCATTCATGCATAAAAGTCTGTGATCACCAGCTTAAACATAAATACCCAGCGTTATTTTTGTCTGTATTTGACTCTGAGCTGCTGCCTAGTTGTTCTGAGATTGTTGGTGCTGCTTAAGCTGAGGAAAAATGGAGGAGGAAAAAGTCATTCAGCTCAGCTGAAGTTATTTGGAAATACAGGGTAACTGCTGTCCTAACTTGTATCTGTGGGGTTTTTTGCTTTCAGATTTTGGACCTGAACAGACTTTATACCAATGATATTCATGCCATGGCTAAGAACTATGGTATTGAGTCTGCCCTGAGGGTGATTATAAAGGAAATAAAAGATGTATTTGCTGTATATGGTAAGATTTCCTTTTGTTTCTAAAGGCAGTCTTTATTATCATTAGGATGGGAAAACCCAGCCACAGTGCTTACAAAGTTATGTCTTTGCATATTTTCTTGTAAGTGTGTATTTAAGTTGCACTTTTTCATGGTTTTAATAATTACAGTGCTTTCTGGGAAGGCTTGGTTAGTTAATTATTAGGTTACAAAATTCACTAGGCAAGGTTTAATTTATTCCCCCTTCTATTCTGGTATGTTTATTTTTTTGCAAGCTGGAAGGTCCAGACAAATTAACTGTTCACATCTGAGGAACCTAACAATGTTAGACTTGCATAGTGGCCCTGAGAGTAGGATTAACCTTGCCTCACTCAAGCTATTTAATGATGGGAGACTAAGCTCCCTTTGTAGTTGAGTTTATATCTTTCCTAAAATATCTGTGCTGCATTGTCTGAACGTTCTCTCTGCACAGATAACTCAGAGATCTGGGCAGCTGGCTTGGGGAAGGTACCTGACTTCATGGCCTGCTGAAGTTAGGCATGTTGGGTTTGTCTTAAGTGAGCGAAGTCTTGCTGTGAATTAAAGTATTGAAAAGAGGGAGGATGAATACAGTGGGAATTCTAGCGACCAGTTATATCACACAGATTTGCCAGCTGGCAGCCCAGAACGGTCTGACCTTCAAGTTGTTCAAGAAGTGCTAGGTAAATGTTGACAAGAGCTGTTAATGATCTCCCATTACACTGACTCCACAAGAATGTTTTAAAAATACCTACTGTTTCTTTTTGCACTGAACGGGGTTTTCTGTGGATACCTAACATCAGACACAGGAAATATCAGAACCTTTCTGACTCTGGTGCCTAACGCAGGCTACCAGCTGAGGGGCCAGAGCTGTGTCCTGTCACGAGTGGATAGAGATGTTCTCCATGTTGATTAGATGTAGAGAGTTTAATTTAGACTTGATTTATATATTAAAAAATTAAAATCTTAGCCCTTGAACACTCTGATGACTTTCTTGTAGGCATCGTGGTGGACCCTCGGCACCTTTCACTTGTGGCAGATTACATGTGTTTTGAAGGATTTTATAAACCACTGAATCGTTTCGGAATTCAGTCCAACTCCTCCCCTCTGCAACAGATGACATTTGAAACCAGCTACAAATTCTTGAAGGAAGCAACAATGATGGGTAAATGGTTTAGTTTGAGCTACATTGCTGCAGTGTTTCACATCAGCTTTGTTTTCATCGTAACTTTCCACTACTTTGAGGAATGCATAATTGCATTAAAGAAAAATGCCAGAGGCTAAAATTTTAATTAAGCCCTTGCCTAGGAATATGCTCCAGATGTCTTTAATAAAAGTCTGTCAGCTTAAATGAAGTCAACTCCCACATGTAATTTGTGGGGTCTGTGACTCCTTTCTTTAAGAATTAGATAAATAGGCATTTTTATAACAAACCTTAAGATAGTTAAGATTTGCTGCAGCAAAGCCTTTCAAAGGAGTACTAAATCTGCCTTTTTCTATCTCTGCCATTAAGATTGTCATCTCCACTTTGTTTTCATGTCTCTATTATAAATAAACTCCCCTGTTTTCACCTCTTCTATAACCTTGCTATTCAGAATTTTATTTGGAGAACAGCCCTCCTGGTTCTTACTTTGATTCTGTTTTTCTTCTGCTTTGTGGCACTTTACTATTTGCTTTTTTCCCTCAAACACAAAGGGTCAGCCTCATTTGTCTCATGGTAGGTTTCTGGTGCCATTTGAGATGCTCAGGAGTATCCTTTCTGCCCTCTGGTTGCTGCTTTGGAAGGTGCAGAGATCACAGGACTGGATGGATCATTTAGGACATTTGAAATGGCACTGGCCATCAACATTTAGGAGTCCTATCCAAAAAACTTGTCTTAAGTCTGTCAGTAGACAGTTCATGTGGTTTCATGCCTTGGATACAAATTACATCTCCCTTCTGCAAATAGTCTTGGTTTCTGTCACTTGCCAGTTGAATGCTCCCCTTCTTGGATGCTCCTGTGCTGCCTTCTTTGCTACCTAATGCAAATGGGAAAAGCTCTCAACGTGATCTCTTCAGCTGGTATCTTAAATTGCTTTTCACCGATGTCATATATACTTTTATCACTTCATTCCTTTTTGTTAGTGCTGTTTTATGCCTTTTCTGGGAAAGTAATCTGGGTTTTAATGAATACTATTGGCTACAGTTGACTTAATTTCAAAATCAAAAAGGAAAAGTGTAAATCCGGAGTGAAAATGAATAGAAGAGGATGTTTCTTGCACAGATGCACACTCTCTCTGGATTTACAAAATCAGATATTGACTTAAAAATAACAAGGTTTTTGCCAAGTGAAACATAATTATATTTATGGATAATATTATGAATAAAGACATAAAGTGCATACTGACAGCAGGGTGTGGTGAACTGGCAGGAATGCTGCACTGATTACAAGTGGAGGGAGTTACCGATTTCACCATGATGGAAATCAAAGTCATGATGTGGATTGCAGCAGTCTGGATTTAATTTGCTTTAATGTTAACTGATAACTTGACCATACATTTAAAGAGATACTGCAAGAGTGCCTGCTTCTGGCCCTGATTGATAGGAAGGAAATCAAAAGGCTTCTGACCACTGAGCATGGCCAACATAGAAGTGCAAGTGTGACCCAGCAGACGAGTGATCAGGGTTTAGTGCAGAGAGCACATGGCATCAGAAGTGAGATCTTTTTGGCTGTTTGCTTCGAAGGATAACTCTTTGTTAACATCACATGAACAAACAGGACAGTTGTGACTGGTTTGTTCCATGATCTAACAAAGGAGCTTTATTTTTATTCCTTCAGCTGATACACATTCAGGAGCAGCTACTTCATTATCCAGCTGTAGCTGAGATCAGAGCTGTAAGCACATGCCATACACAGTGCTGCAGTGCAGCTCCTCCCCCCATCCTCTATATGACAGAAAGTTCAGTACATTTGCTCAGTAGAATAAAGATGACCCAAACTTATCAGAGGTTTAACAATTTTATCTTCCAGTCAGCTGCCCTAATGACAGAATTCCAGCTTGCTGTAGTTAGGATGATTGAAAAACAGCCTGGATGCTTATAAAAACAGTGAAAGCAAAACAGCCCTAGCCAGACATGTCATCTGGAGAGCTTCCAAATTTCTGTGACACTTAACGCTACAGTGAGTAACCACAAAATCAAAGGAATTAATGGAATGTCTCTCCAGTGAAAAGTTCACTTCGGATCTAGCCAGGAGGATTTAAAACCCACATCAAAAGGGTTCACTCTGACAAAGGAAAAAGGCAGCAATGAAAAGGGAATCTTTTACCTCACTGATGTATTTTTTTTTTAGCAGTCCATTTAATCAGCAAAACATGTTGACTGGAAGGTCAAATCTGTGTTCTCTTAGAATTCAGAACGCGCTGCCTTTTCATGCTGAATAGGCAGAGTTTAGCAATGTGTGGCCTAACTCTGCTTGCACAAAAAGATTGCGAAGAGATAATAGTTGCTGTAGGAAGAGTTTTGGACTCCTGCTCTCAGAAATACAAATTTAACCAGAACAGGAGGTGGCAATGCCTTTCTGAAGGGAGGGGGCTGAACCAGACAACTTTGTGCATATAAACCAAAATGCTTTCTTTTCAGCACTGACGTTGAGAAGCCTTTGGAAACATCCTAATACGATTTTGTTTGAATTCTGTTGCAGGTGCCCACGATGAACTGCGATCCCCTTCTGCGTGCCTCGTAGTTGGAAAAGTTGTTAAAGGAGGGACTGGTTTGTTTGACCTCAAACAACCCCTCACATAGTGTTTTGGTTAGGACTTCAGACTTCTGATTGAAATGCTCATCATCAGAGATAGGTACGTGTGCTCTCCAGGTATGCATTGGGCACACGCTGTGTCCCTGGTCATCTTCCCTGGGCCAATCGGTTTGTTAATCTGGATACCTGATGAGCCTGATTATTTAATGAGAATGTCTGCACCTATAGGAGCTATCCTTGGATCCAAAGAAACATATTTACTGTTTATTAATGTAAAACATGAGATTATTGGCTTACATAGAGAAGAATCCAATGAAGGAGACCATCTGGGTCTCAAACAGGCCATGCAGCAGCTGTGGCAGAGAGAAGTCAAAGCAGAATCTGTTGATGCTGTCTAATTTTTGTGGGGCTGAATCCATCTGGGGGGGTACTGCCAGTTGCCACACGGTTATGTGACAAATGTCCAGTGCTGGAAATAGCACTCAAACTGGCATGTGACGCTGGGCAGCACTGTGCTGAAGCTTCAATGTGTTACTGAAGCATCTGTGCTTGAGGCACATCCTCTTCTTTTGCCATACTTGCGTGTACTGCCATACTTTGATAAGCTTTAGAGGATGCATTTTCCTATTCTGCTACTTCATTGATTATGAATTGTGTCTGTGACACAATTGTTAAATTTCTTTATTAGCTGAAGACTGGAATTCAGAGTTTTTGTCATTTCTATAGGCATTTTCCAGTGCCTACTCTTACAATTTCTTTGTATGGAACAGATGTCCACACAGTGAGAAAGCTGACATTTGATAAAGATTTATTCCTTGAACAGCCACATGAGCTGTTGCAACAGTGAGTATACAAAAGACTCCTGTAAGGATTACTGAAACAGAGGTTTTAAACTATTTTTGCTTAAATATTCTGTATCAAAGAGGATATTTAATAAAGGAGACTGATAAAAAAATACCCTTGATTGCCCTATTATGTGACTGTGTTACCGAGGGAATTTTGTCATGCAGCCAGCAGCCATCACTTTGACTCTGATGGCTGTTAAAAATCACGTAGCCAAGGGCTGTTAGCCACTCTTTGGAAATCAGACTTTATTGTTTCTACATTTGATTTTAATCAGAATGCAATGTGTGCAAGTAGTTAAAACTCTGGAGTTTGTTCACTACCATCTTGGCAAGTCTGCTAACAGATTTCAGCCCTTGCTCATTCTCAGTGGTGCCTCTAAGCTGATGGCGAAGTTCCAGAGCTCCCTTAGTTTCCTGAGGAGCTCCTGTGTCCAGTGGAGCTGCGCTAATGGAGATCAGATCAGGTTCTGGGAGACGTTGGCTTAGGATTGTGAAAGAGCCTCTGTGGAGTATCCTGATGGGCTCCATTCTGCCTCAGTCCCTTAAAACCGGGTCAGATGCACTGCAAATTGCTCTGAAGCTTAACAAATGCATTAGGCCGTTAGCTCTCCAGTTTCACTTTGCAAATCTTAATAAAAGATTTCCTTGTGTCTTTCGCCAGTCTTAGCACCTGCCATGTGTTTCTCAAAACCATGTCATTCTGCGAACAACCGGGGAAGTGTTAGTTGGGTACAGTTTCACAAATGGTTAGATGGGAAAGAACAAATGTGGTAACAAAAAGACCTTTCATTTCAGGCTACAGTCTGTCCTGTTACAGACCATTTACTGAGAAAGATCCCTAAGAGGTATTCACAGTGCTGCAGTGAAGAGCATCTATCCCACATTTTCTATCTGGAGATGCAGCATCCTTCTCTAAAGAGTTTGACACAAATAACCCATTCATCCAAGTACTGATATCGCTGCTCTGTGAAGCATAACTGTGACACACTTAGATTGTGTCATGGTCATGAATTGGCCCCATGGTTACAGAGCCATGAAATACAGGAAAGCTTACAGTCTTGTGTTTTGGCATGATACAGTCACGTACAGATTCTGTGTATTCCAAATGTGCGTATGTGAAATTGTACAGAAGTCTCCTGAGCAACTTGATGTCCTATTCTAGGCAGCAGCTTGCTTTGCTGTTTCCTGCCCCTTGCAGAGTCAGCTGTGCAGGAAACGGTGATGAATTCAGTGGATGTTAATAAGTCCTGCTCTCAGGTTGTTAAATAGAGCTGCTTGGAACCTCTGCTCTGGCTGTGGCAGGATGGGCCAACCTCCCCTTTCAGTTTTGACTTCCCTTTAAAATTTAGGCACGGGCCAGTGTCCAAAAGATTGATCTGATCTGTACTGAAAGAGCTGACACTACAATTCAGATCTTGCCTAACATCTGCTTAGGAAAATGAAGCAGGTGGCAGTTCCTGTTCGTGGACCAAAGTGATAGGGGACAGAGCATGGCAGGGCCTCAGCTGAGTCTGTGTCTCCAGGGTGGGAGAGCTGTGCGTATTTTGGCACATAAGTGGGTTTATTTCACGCTGTGATTTCACATGCACCACAGGCGGAAGAGAAGAGCAGCAGAGGTAGCTTTAATCTCTTCATCTGGAGGATGAACAGTTTGGCTAGGGAATCATCTGGTGTTAGGTTGACGGTTGGACTTGACGATCTTAGAGGTCTCTTCCAACCCTAATGATTCCGTGATCTAAACTGCCCTTGCTGAGATGGGAGGAGTTTCAGCTTGCTCAAAATACACATGTGCTCAGAAAATAGAGGCAGAAGAAATGTCCTGCTTCCTGTTCTGTCTTCCAGAAGACTTCTGTTTCCTTTCACACAACATGTAGCTCTATGCCGCTGTCTTCTATGTTTTAAAGTTTCTTTCTTGCTCCTTGCACCAGTGCTGTCACTGTATGGCACTTCTGGAGCAGGTGTGAGCTACCTACCCCTAAACATGGTCTGGGAGAAGGCTGCAATCATGGATGGGGCTTTGTAGTTATATAAAATGGACAAATGGAGTCAGTTTTGGCATGAAGGACCCCAAAGAGCTGACAGTAGATGTGATTTTGTAGAGAGGAGAAGGTCATGGTTGAAAGGCCAGAAGAATGGGCTAGAAAGCCCCTTTGGAGTGTGAGAATCAAGGTTTGCAAGTATTTAAGTAAGATGGGAAGACATAACTGCGACTTCATTTTTCTTTTTCTTTTCCAAGTAAGTATTTTACTGCTCTGAATCAGAATTCAATGTGATTCTCCTGCTGCTGAGGAAACCTGGTTCTCTCCAGTGGCAGACCAAGCTCAACTAGTAACAAGTGATGAAGAAACACATCAGATGGCACTGAGAACTCCTCATGCTATTTTCGACTGTTGTCTGCAGAATCCTTTCGAATGCACGCTGGCTACAAGTCTTTCTTCAAATACTTTTGACCTGACTTTGATAATTACCAGAAATAATGCAAAATTAATACTGAACAGTCAAATTTTGTGGTGATTTCCTCTAATTTGTGTTTGAATGCTGCATTTCCATTTGTAGGTGATTTACAACTTGGATGTAGTGCTGGCATTGGCCACGCTCTTAATGCTTCTTCCCTGGGAACCATCCCTTCTCTTAATGATCTGCTGCACTGTAGGGTGCTGAGATACCCTGCAGAAATGTGGGAAGAATGAAAGAAGAAAAGGTAGCATCCAAAATTGCTCGCTTCCTATACGTTATTTCCATTAATAATAGCAAATGATCTGTCTGGAAGGCTCAAGATTATGAGCTTGACTGAAAGAGCACTGCAGGAATGGGGTGGTTAGTGTATGCAAACTTGGGGAAGAGGCTTTTTGAAAGCTGTGCTAAAGGGTTTTATCCTGCTTGTGTGGTACAAAACACCCACTGGCTCATCCCAACTTGTTACGTGTGAAATAGAGGTGAATAAAACTTTTCAGTGTGTTGGTAATGGTGAATCAGCTTGTATTTGCACAGCACTTGGGAAGTGAGCTACATTCAAGCTTAATGAATCATAATAGAAGGCTTGTTCTTACAGTAATCTTTAAAAAAAATCCCCAGTCAGGCAATGAGAATGGATACAAACAGGAATTAGTGCTGCTTTCATCTCCAAAGCAGAGCTAAATACTAGAAGACAGGGGGCAGAAGAGTTTGTTTTGCCAGGTCCGTGGTTCCCATGTTGTTATGCTTGTGTAGGTCAGTAACCAAGCAGTGGCAACATCACAGCTCCAAGGGATCTTTAACCGTTCAGAGCCTTTCTGGAAAGGCTGAAATCAGGAAGCTACCTCATCTGCTGAGGAGTTTGGCAAGTGCAAGGGCATGTGTCACCTCGGGCACACTTCACCCAGCTCAGGTTGTGGTGACTGGGCCTGACTGGTGCAGGTGGACCAAGGCAAAGCGAAATCTTTGTCTTCTCTGAGGTTAAGTCAGACAGAACTTTGTGAACATCACCCATAAGGGGTGAGATCCAAAAAAGTGTTTTTAAGCTTTCAGCGTGGCAGTCGTGATCTTTGGGGTGGACATGAAGGCTGAGGTCTGCAGGTGTGAACGTGACCACTGCGCAGTACGTGAGAATGAGATCAATCTCCTGCAGCTCGCTGCATGCCAACCTGCAAACTCAACCAGAAGGGAACAGTGGAAACCTTGTGCACCTTTGGTTCCTGCTTTTCCTTGCAGCACCCTGAGTAGCGTGGATGATGCTTCACCCTGAAGACTGATGAGTTCTGTTTTGTAGATAAGCAGATGATAATAATATAACAAAAAGAGAGCAAATGTGACTTCTTTCTAAATCCAGCCAGGGAAGAGGTGAACAAGGTCCAGTCATGCCCATGAGCCTGTTCTGAGGGCAGCCACTGGGCCACAGGAAACTGAGGGGCTCCAAACCCACCTCCTGAGTGCCCTAACCACCACCCTGGGATGGGGAATCTTCAGTTTCCTGCTCTGAAGCTGCCTGCCACTGCTGGAAGTAATGTGCTGTTTGCAGGGGTAAGAGAGGGAGAGAGGAGGTCAGCTCTGTTCCCAGGGGAAGGGAGGGGAAACCGGAGCTTTCTTGGAAGACCAGAGAAACCTTTCTCCTAGTGTTTGTGCAGCCTCATCCAGAAGGTCACAGCAAAATCCTGCCTCAAAACAGGATCACAAATATCTGTCAGGATTGAAGGCATTTTCCTGAGGCTCCCAATGGGAGATGAGCACTAGTAGAGCAACGCCCACGCCTGGATACTGAGATGCATGGGGGT